TTTTCTACAATACCTAAAGTAAATAAAAACTTTACAATTACTTATTTGTAACTTCATGTAATACTAAATCACTTTACCGAAATAAGTGTTCTAGTGAATATTAGATTTCGTTGGAATAAACAAGATTATATAATTTTGCCAAAACGTTATGATTTAAGAAAATTTTAAGTAAGTATACAATGCGTACAATTTTACATTTCAGAAAGGTATTTCTCTTCGAAATATTATTTTTGTTTCATGAAGTGATAAAAATGAATCCGTCCTTAAGCAAAATGTTGAATAAAACACAGCACATAAAGATGCGCTGTGAAACTCCTTTCACAATTTAGGAATAAGCCTACTCAAAGCTATTCCGCGACCTACACTCTTTCCGTTTGCAAACCAGAACCTTTCCTTTCTCTTCCTCTTGCCTGCGTAAATTGAACTCGCCCAGCTAACAAAAGAAGCCGTTCCGGGATTGACGGTCTAGTCATAATTAGCGGGATTTAAAAGAAGTTACAAACATGAACATTATCCAGCCAGGAAAGTTTAAAAACTTTCTAATTTCTTAAATGTCTTGCAATATTCATCAATGCGAGTATAAACAAGTATTTAGAAAGAGCACTTGATGGATTATATAACCATGGACGCTGTTCAGCCAGAGTTACCAAAAATATCTAAATTTCTGTATACCTTACTGGCTTCATTTTGCAAAGCCTGCTAGAGTTTGAGAAGAAAGAAATGATCATTAAATATGAGCATTTACAACCGAAAAATGATATAATTATGAATATTTTTCTGAATTATCATCATAAAAGATATATAGTTTAAATTTTTCCTATGAATTCAACGTTAATACCGGTAATTGGTAATATGTCGTAAATAGCATCTAAGAATATTATTAGGAGGTGTAATACAAAAATAATTATTCTTTTTCTGTCTTCAGTGTTATATTCAAGAACATAATTTAGTAGGAGTTCATTATGAAATGACTTTAACATCTTCTGTTCAGTCATTTTCTTCCATTCTTAATGTAGTAATTCTTAATTAGAATATAAAATAGCTAAAAAGAAAATAATTTATGTTATTTCGGGTTTGATATTCTATACAACTTACTTTCAGTAGTTATTTTCTTTAGTTTAAACATTTTTAGGTCTTGATATTTTTCTGATACTACATTTAGAATTTTATGTATAGTAAAACAAATGCATAGTTAAATTTATGTTATTTGCGCTAGTACTTCGAAATGTTTCTAACAGAAGTACTAAACTCTAATAAGAAGCAATTCACTTCAGTTGGAAGAAGGAAGATTAATTGTTGGAAATCCATCTAAATTCATTGATTCTTTTTCAGACACTATAACTTCAAATAAGAAAAGAAACTGACAGCGGTGAAGTCATAAATGTATTCCATTGTTACTGGGTAAGTCAAGTCGGGTTACGTATAGACGTAACTAGGGTTATGTATAGACCTCTGCGATTGATAACGTGTGGTCTCGTCGGGTTACATATAGACCTCTGCGGATTGATAACGTGCGTTATGATTTAATTTGAGAAAGAACGAGGAGAAAAACACAACCATAAGAAAAGAATTCAGAGCTCTGAATTACCAAACTGGCGAAGTTTTGTAAAACGTGGTAAATGGATTCTTTAATATTTCGTGCTCCGAAGAAAAGTCCTGATTTTGTAAGGCAATAGTAGGTCTGGGCTGTTGTTAGTATGTAGATAATTGTAAGGTTTTTAAGTTTGACCTAGCAGTTAAATTTTATGTTGTTTAGCTCTTTTTGCCTTAACTCATGAGCTCAAGAGGACACATTACTGTCTGTCTACGAGAAGAAAAGTTCCCGCCACAGTGTCTGGTGGATGACTGTTGCTATAGCAACAGGGCTTGTATATTTCAAATAGGGGCGAACCAAGGGTTGCTTTATTGTTATTTTCTTTTTGGCTACTGTTGATTGAGGGGAAAAGAGTTTATCATTCGTCTTCAAGACAGCCCTACTGAAAATGGGTCAAGACTCGTTTCTACGGCAACAGACAGCTGCAGACTAACTGGCGAGAGCTTTTCTTATGATAGACAGACTGTAGACACAGAGAAACAACTGCACTTGCTAATCTTACCAAAGAGACTTCTTGTTATGCAACAGCCATGTGGCACCATACAATTTTCTATCAGCAGTAGTTAAGTTAGCATCATGAGCAGTTAAATGAAGCAAAGAAATTTTGGATATTAGTTCACTTTAAATAAAATACATATGAAGTTTTAGTAAAAGCTTAAGATTAACCCGAATATCTTGGAAGCGAAAATGTTCACTAACATTTCTGCTGGAATTTAAAATTTTATTCGAGTTTTATTGCTGCAAGGAGCAAGCAGATTATTGAGCTATTTTTCAACTGTACGTGATAGAAACCAAAAAATATAGTTATCGGTCATTTATCTTTGAGTTTCTTCTGTTATTTGGTGTTAAACTCATCTATGGTGACCTCTCGCTCAGTAATTTTTAACATCAGTTAGCGCAAATAGAGAAGAGATTTAATAAGATCTAAAACATTTTAGTTTACTTATTCCAGAAACTTCGCAATACGTTCCTAAACCATATCTCACACCTAAATATTAACAATGTTCAATCATTTTATGTGTATAACTGGAACTTTCATATTCCGAGAAACCCTTGTTTCATTTTAATATACTTCTATATTTGAGTTTTAGTTTTAGAAATTGAAATATTGTCTTTTGATCAATTATAATAAAACAATGTATTATGAATCTTTTGAAAACATTCATAATACATTCTTTCATTGTAATTAATAAGCGGAAAATTAAACTAATTAATTAATTAACTTAATTTTCGAAAACAAGTATGCCGCTTCTCTGTTCTCAACTTGCACCCTTTTGGGGAAATTCTTTTGTGTTTGTTGTGTTTTTTGGTTTTAGAAGCAAGAAGCTTGAGCATATGAGATGCTGCGGACCTGCGGCAGAAAGCTGAACACATGTGATTATTAAGTGTATAATCAGTTTGAGAATCGGGAGTTTTTGCACAAAATTATTGTAAAGTAGGACAATTCTCAGGCTGAATCTGAAACGCATTATCTGGAAATTTATTTGAGAAATTTCGTTTCACGTTATGGTTACAACAGATATAAAACGTCAGTCCCTATTACAAATGAAAAATTTCAAATTTTCTTCTAAATGATATACAAGCATCTTTTCTTTAGTGTAAGTTATTTAACGCTTTAATGCGCAATTTTACGCGAGAATTCGATATGCATATATTTTTTACACCTAAGAGTAAAGAAAAGAACTCGTAAAAATACTATGGAAAAAAAGTGCGTTTCATTTGATATCAAGGCATTTTTTTAAGTTCTTGCACATGTGCAAAGTTTTTTGTATAAAGCAGTATTAGATCAAATACATGCGAAGGCACAAAGTAATATAGAGTTATACAAGGGAAATAAAAGTATTTATAAAAAAATTAAGAAGGTGCTAGTGTCAAATATTCAAAGTGCCAGGTGTCAAAAATTCAAAGTTCGCTTGAAAACAGCTCGAATATAGTTTAACCTGTCATTTGATAGTGATTAACTTGATGGCATTTTCATAAACTTTTGTACAAAATATTGCAGTGAAAAGTTGCAAAATAAGCAATCAGTGTTTGATATCTGAAATGGTACAAGGCGGAAGGTTTTAAAAAATTCTAGAGCTAAAAAGATTAAAATCTAGCAACGAATAGTTTGTGTCAACTCACATATTGTTCAATAATAAACATAGATTAAAACTGTTAATTAAAATTGTAGCAATTACCACAGTAGCATTGGAATAAAAGTATCGACTTCGCGTCATTAAACAATTATAGCCTAATCCTAAGATTTCAGTTCGCGAAATAAGGTTTCTCCTTATCACGACTATAATTGGATTAATATGAATCGGAAAAGAATATTTCTTGGGAACACCAAAAAGAATACCTTTTGATATTAATTGTTTTTATTCAATATTGCTGTTTTATTTAGATAAAACTCATATCCAGACTTCCGATTTCGATACGTTAGGCTTCAGATTTCGATTAAATAATGTGTTGAAGATATTTAACCTAAAAATTTTTTCACTATTGTTAATCCAAAAATGTCACAGAAAGATATTCTATTATTTACTCGTAATCAGCTCGGATTTCAACATTAAATGCAAAACAAGAGCAATTAATTTAAGAAGATAAAAATATATCACTTATAATTAATAGATAAAAATATATTACTTACAGTTAAGCTTAATTACGCAGCTAGAAGTATAATGGACAGGAATATCTTACACTAGGCTAACAGTTAATAATTAGTTACCCAAAGAACACGCTTCTGAAAGCTTTTACTGTATTTACTGTTATTTAAAAAGGGAAAAATAAATAAAAAAACCCTGCGAACCATTTACTAGAGAAAAACCTACAACAAGAAGTTCTTCGTTAGTGTAAAAGGCTAAATGTGGTTTAACCAAATAATTAGAGTTAATAAACTAAAATTAATTGGAAAGTTTGGATTAATTATGAAATATTTCAATACAGAAGTTTTAGAAATAATTATCTGCATTAGGGGAGGGAACGTTTAACATTTCATAAATAGAATATGAATTACCTATTGCTTTTAACAAAGTTGCAATTTCTAAGTGCAAATGAATTTTGCCTGAGATAAGTTAAACATTATAGCGGGTCTTTACCTATTTACTATATAAGCAGAAAGAAATCGAATCAGTATCTCTGTTGTCTTGAAAATAATCTTTCAGTATAAAAAATCAGCAGTCACTTATATGGACGATATTGTCTATGATAGCTTGTAAAACTTATGGTCTTCAAATGCTATGAAAAGTTTTGAAAAATACTTGAAAGAGTAAAACTGTGGATTTCGTTTGAAAATGCTATGCCTACTTTACATTTCTTTACACTTCCGTAAAAAGTAAGATCACTAGTTTAGTAAATATGTAGGAAGCACACAAAACATAAAAACTATTCTTTGGTGGACTAGCATTCTCTTATATCCTTAAACTGAATTAGTTAATTTGTACCTTTATTTTAAACTGATAATTATTTGTAGATATAACAATCAAAAATCAGCAATATTGGCAGTTAAGGTGGGGCTAATGAACTTGTAAGACGTAATCTCTGTAAATCATCATCGTATGAGTTGCTTTTTAAGATCAAAATACATATCATTAGTTCTTGACCAGTATGTGCTGAGTAACACATGTCTAATTCAAACTCTTATTGTTGGCCTGAAGTTGGTTAATGTACCAGGTAATAAAGGAGGCAGCATGTTGTTGCTGAAAGAACTCGATTTGGATTTCTTCATGATTTTCCCGCTCATGATAAGTCTACCGAAACCCTCTTGGTGGGCAAAGGCGTAACCGGACCTCATAGATTTCCTTCTGCTCGGTCTTCTCATCAGTTGGGGCATCATGATTTGTGGCTCGGATGGTTCAGCTTGGATGCGCATCCTCCTTTGCTTTAGACGAACGCGGTCCGAAAGCGTTGGATGAACGTGGACATAGTAGAATCGAATGGCAATGATTGGAATAAGGAGAATAACCAAGATGAGAAGAGTCGTGAACCAAAATGTAGGCGAGCTGAGAGTCATACGAAAGGCCCCCAGGTACTTGCTTTTGATGAGATCACTGTTTATGAATAAGGTAAGTGCGAAGAAAAAGGCCACGCTTCCAAAGATCACAATATGGTTAAAGACAGTCCAATAGGAAGTATCCAATGCCACCTAAGATTTGAAAATCATTATAGTTTTATAGTTAAAAACTCTTAACTTATATATCTTGAAAAAATATTAATGCATTACCTGAGCAGTTACGACAAGCACGAGAAGCGTGGACACAACTGTTCCAAATATTTGATGTCCATCCATATTGATGCCATGGATATTCACATTTTGGTAGAATGATCCATACGGAATGAAGAAAAGGGTGAAAGATGTGCAGACTCCGTGCACAAGAGACTTGAAGAACTCCTTCTTGTTGAAGAGCAAGTTCTTGTGGCCAGGAGTATAAAGTTTGGGATAGTGCAAAGAATTGCGATCATTGACATCCTAAAGATAACAAAAAGAAGTTAAACTGAAATGTTACATCCCAAACATATCTATCTATAAGATTTACTTAAAAAAAAGCAGGGAACGCGTTTTGTAATAGTCAGTGAAATAAAAAAAATACGAATTGTTTAAAACGACTGATCCTGTTTCATATGAAGATCATACAATACATATTTAGAATATATTAATACACATCAAATGTATATAGGTTATGGATATCTGTGGTGTTCTATGTTGTGAATTTGTGTTTATGGTTTTTTTTTTTTTGTTTTGTTTGTTGGTCTGTAATTTTGTGTTAGATGTGCTTACTTATTTTTGATTTAATATTTTGTTTGTTGTTTGGGGGTGGCTGTGTTACTGGCTGCCCTCGTTTGTGAAGATACGGGGCCCCTTCTTTTGAGCTATGGGGACACTCGTGTTCAGGTGGGCTGAAGGGAGCCTCCAGTTCTTACAATTCTTACATATCAAATGTGAAAGAGAATTCCAAAATTTTAATGTGTGTGCTGTAATTTTCCAGATTTCAATAATTTCTTCTCCTACGTTTTGTTGATGCCACAAAACTGATCCATTTACTTTCTAAGATCATTCGTAGATGGTGACAGCAGATCCACTAAATAGCAACGTATCCATGCAATAGTATGATGACTGTACAATTAGTTTGTATTAGTTTGTATTTCTTTCACATTTGATATGTAAGAATTGTAAAAACTGGAGGCTCCCTTCAGCCCACCTGAACACGAGTGTCCCCATAGCTCAAAAGAAGGGGCCCCGTATCTTCACAAACGAGGGCAGCCAGTAACACAGCCACCCCCAAACAACAAACAAAAATACTAAATCAAAAATAAGTAAGCACATCTAACACAAAATTACAGACCCAACAACAAACAACAAACAAAAAAAAAAAAAAAAAAAAAAAAAAAACCATAAACACAAATTCACAACATAGAACACCACAGATATCCATAACCTATATACATTTGATGTGTATTAATATATTCTAAATATGTATTGTATGATCTTCATATGAAACAGGATCAGTCGTTTTAAACAATTCGTATTTTTTTTTACTTCACTGACTATTACAAAACGCGTTCCCTGCTTTTTTAGCTGTAGACGCAAGATCATTTTGCTTCTTTACTATAGTTTATGTTATCTGTAGAGGCAAGATCACTTTCCTTCTTAGCTATAGTTTGTATTAGCTGTAGAGGTAAGATCACTTTGCTTCTTAACTATAGTTTGGGTTAGCTGTAGAGGCAAGATCACTTTCCTTCTTAGCTATAGTTTGTATTAGCTGTAGAGGCAAGATCACTTTCCTTCTTAGCTATAGTTTGTATTAGCAGTAGAGGTAAGATCACTTTGCTTAACTATAGTTTGTGCTAGCTGTAGAGGCAAGCTCATCTTGGCTTCTTAACTATAGTTTGTGTTAGCTATAGAGACAAGATCACTTTCCTTCTTAGCTGTAGTTTGTATTAGCTGTAGAGGCAAGATCACTTTCTTTCTTAGCTATAGTTTGTATTAGCTGTAGAGATAAGATCACTTTGCTTCTTAACTATAGTTTGTGTTAGCTGTAGAGACAAGATCACTTTCCTTCTTTGCTATAGTTTGTATTAGCTGTAGAGGTAAGATCACATTGCTTCTTAACTAACTTTCTACGCTTAATCAAGTCATACAGCAAGAGCCTTTTCTTTACCGATATTCTAAGAATGTTTCATTTAAAATTGCTACATGATCTCAAAAACTACGTTTTTGCTGCAAATAGATGTACTAAGAAGGCATATACTGAAAAAAATTCGGCAAGAATGAGATTATCATCTTGGCATTCATTAGCTAAAGCAAATAAGTAAATCTTGAATATTTTCTTTCCATAAGAAGGCGTACTGAAAAAACATTAACAAGAACATTATTATGGTTTTAATGTTCATGCAAAAACAGGCGCTATTTGGAAACAAAAATGCTATTTCGAACTGAAGTAATATTAATTTTAAACAACTCTGTACGTATTATATATTTGAGGCATTCTAAAATTTCATTTAATTTTTCAGAAAGTACTCTGGTTAATCTATATTTTTTGAAAGCATTAGATTTTAAACACATTTTAATATAATCTCTGCCGATTGTGATGAATTCCTTTAGATAATGTGTCCAATATTCTTGTCACTGAAGAAATTGGTTGTTCCTAAAGCACTTAACACTTGTTGACAGCCCAGCTGATGTCATCTTGATGAAAATACTCTTATCACGTATCTTTGAGTTTTCTGTCAGTCAAATATCAGTTCCACGAAAACAGGAGAATAGAATGGAACTTGAATTAAATTAATTTCTGGTTCTCAATGGACGAGCTAAACTTTATCGTTAGGATTGTGAATAATGTATTTATTTTTCGAAGGAATTCAGTGATATTGATGTCAGTTATGTTAAAAGTGTAAACTAAAGTTTGAAAGACATCTCAATTATTTCTGGGAAAATAAATAATTGACCGTTTTGTATCTCCTTGCGCATGCTGAATTTCTTCGGCAAATTTATGTGTATTGTTAGATTATCATATGAAGATACTATGAAAGCTTCTACATGTTAAATACGTTTTACAACTATTTGATAAGTATTAATTTAAAAAGCAATTTTATGACTTTTAAATTCATAATTGCGTAACGCCAATTGGAACTTTTGCTATATCTGCCAGTTTAAACTGACATTAAAATTTTTTTTAAAATTCAATAACTGCCATAAATGGAAACAACAATTTATAGAAAACAACAACCAAATTTTGGGATTCGAAAGAAATTTTTAACGTTTATCAGGAGGTTTTGGCGATATTTCAAAAGATCATTTCAAATTATTAAAATTATTTATGATTTATCAATGTTGCCCTACGACGCTTTTATAATATGAACTACTTTTGTAAATACTCATGCATTTAAATTACGTTAAATATTAGCAAACCTGATGAGAAGTCTCATTATCTCGTAAACTCATGTTTCACGTTACTTTCTGCTTATCTGTTCATGATCGTACCTTTCTCTACTTTAGACAAATGTGGCCCCAAAAGCGTTACATGAACGTGGATATACTAGAACCGAAAGATAATGATCATAATAACATTTTCTTGTAGTTGTGTACGATGATTCTTGCAATTACGTACTATTATTTTAGAGAATATTATATACTACATTCATGAAATTCTTAGTCCAGGTCCTTGAAGAATTCCACAGATTTACACCAGGATGCGCTTTTAGCAGTAGCCCGGGATAACAACTGTGTATTAACTGTGATGCGCTGGTTGTATGTGGGCACCGAAACTATTTTGTGTCACCCACGAATAAATTTCCTGTAAATTAATTAACATTATTATGACAAGAATTTTAAGAAATTGTTTAAGATTTTAATGATTTACTGTTCAATTTTACAGTATTTCCATCACTAAAAACGAGCGTGAATAACGCTCCAGAAACTCTAGAAAGGACGATAATTAATTTAAACTGGGATATAAATCTTATTCAAAGATTTGAAAGCTCCAAATAGGATCCATTTTACTAGCACGTTCCCACTTTCCAAAAGATAAATATCCTCAGTGATGGATATTTGCAATAACAATAATCATTTTGTTTGGGAGTATATTTAAATGTGAACAGTATTTTTTCTGAAGCTGAAAATTGATAATTCGATGAAAAGAACCAAACAGCTGACGAATATCTACAATTTGTGATGAAGATCCTTTCTAATTTTTTTCCTGCGATATTAGAAACATTTTAAAAATCGAAACCCCATGAGGTGTTGTAGCTGAAAGATGTAGTAAGAAACAAAGTTGTTTGTATAATTATTTGTATGTTTACATGAAAATATGAAACATACAGAAATCTAATGAAAAAAGAAGAGTTATTCTCAAATTTTGTCAGACTTGGCAAGTTTTCATATATTTATTTTAAATAAGTTATTTAGTGGGTTCTTCAATATATTGTAAGGATCTTAAGTTTTACTAACGTATATTTTATTTAAATCTTTACTATCACTTCTTATTTTCTACTTCCGGCCAGAATTAAGAGCTTTAACTTATTTATGCAAATTTGTCTTGCGAACGCCAAGTACTTAAGTTGTGGCTTTTTGCCAATCAAGAGAGAGGAAGGGAGTGATTAGGAGCAGGCCGCTTGCCATAGCAGTTTACTCGGTTGCTGGTTGCCTTCACAGGCCAGAGGTTTAATCCTCTTGATAATTTTAAACTATCGTAGTGTAACAGTTCTCTGTACTACATACGGCCTTTCTGTTATATACGGCCAATCTTCAAGTAGACACTTGTTTATTAATCCCCAAGTTAGTTTATTAGAATTTAGTTAATATTTTTATTCTCTTCGTTCAGACCACAAGTGGTTGGTCTCTGTATCCGAAGTCCGGAAATCATTGTAAGAGAGAAAAATAAATGGTTTCGTATACCCTTCCTGTGTATCTTGTCTACTTCCCACATTTATTGAACATAGCTTTAGTAAGCTCCCTGTTCCGAGTCAGGTCATTTAGTGTTCCCAAAGCAAGTAAGAAGGAAGACTGAACCTGATAATATTACAGATATTTGAATAAATGGCAGCCTAAAAATTTTAAGATTTAGCTGCTAATACGTTCGAATTTCAAACTGTGACCAACAGAAATTCCCGCAGATACCAACTTTTTAATGTCAAGCAGAAAATAAATAAAAATTAGAATTTTTCTCTTTGCTTGATTTTTATATGTACGTTTTGATAAATATATAGTGAAAAATTTTTATATTTAATTAACAAATGATATTTTGTTAAAAAATTATTTTATTTATTTATTTATTTTAATTGTGGCTTGTTAGCTAGCTACTTTCAGATCATGTATTTGGACCAAGTGCAGTTTGAGTTTGAGAGTACTATTAAAGTAGTGTTAATATAATGGTTTTCTAATTTACCCCCATGAAATGTGGTTACCCAATGAAATGTGGTTGTTAATATAATGGTTTTCTAATTTACCCCAATGAAAGTTAATTTAAGAATTTAGAAATAATAGCTGTAGTAAGACTTAGAATTTCACTAATGTTTTATAATCATAGTTAAGCACTACTTCTTTAAAATTATCGGACTTTTTTTTTCTTTTTTTTTTTCTGGTGTTTAATATAGCATTTATTTGAAATCTAATGTGTTAAAAATTTATCCCTTTTTGTAAAAGGGTCCTTTATCTGGGACAAAGTGTTATACAAAATGGCTTCTTCCTAGTTTTTAAAAGACTTGAAAGCTACACTTCACCATAATTTATGGCAAATATTTTCCCGGAAATGAGAATGGTTTTCCCCTTTTATCCAGTGTTATCAGAAGTGGCATTATGTCATGGTAATCAAGCCTCAGTGTAGAAGTCTATTATGTATATGCGTGAATACGAGTCAGTTCCCCTTAGAGAGTCCTCCACGAAGGCATTCCTCTCATGAAGCAGATAGATTGTGTGCTTTGCCATATTCAAATAGCCTAACCGAACCTATTAGGTATATAAAAAAGTTTATTTTAAGGGAAAAAATAACGAAGACAATATTATAATCTAAATACAGTTTAAAAAGTTTGCATAAACAGATATAAACAATTAACAGATAAATATTACAAATATTACAACAAATATATTAAATAATGAAAAAAACATGTTATGCAAAAATGATACTCAGTATGTTAAAAACACTATATGGAATATATGGCAGAAGTTATTCTCTTTAACATCAGCGGTTATTTGAGGTACTAAATATTACTTACTTGGTCAAAAATGCCGAGGGCGAGAACTGGCATCGATGTATAGAAAACGTTATAACAGGAAATGAAGTTCGGATCATACACAGTCTGTAGGAAACAAATGAGTCTGTTGAAGTTCATTAACAGAAGTTAAATTAACATTTAAAAATGAAAATTTTTAAATGTTAATTTGAAGAAGGGAATAAAAGTCCAAAATATTGGTTTTTAAAGCTAAAAAGGACAATTGTATTTACATACCGTTAGATGGCGCCACTATCATTGTGATTTACGCGCTTGAAGAATGATTTTGAGAGCGTATACGTAACATAACTTATTGCAAAATCAGTTATGGCAGCAAACATGAATCAGTTTTGTGGGTGAAAGCAGCTTTTATTTTCCGATTAAAGAGGTACAGGGAACTGTGACAGGGAAATATTTTTATTTGGCCGTTGCAACTTCTGTCTAATTGTTTGAATAGTTAGAACTGTACGTGTATTACGGTTATAAATTTAACTGTGCCTTTAAGTTTTGTGTTATTATATTAAGTTCACGTGCAAACTGCCCGTTCCTCATTTCCACTAAAAATCTAGTCATTGTTATTCCAATTATCTGTAAGTTATTTATTTACTTATTTATTTTTTTCTGGTTCATAACTCACCTAAATCGTGACCATGAGGAATTTAGAATAGTCTCCAGTTGGCCGTGCATAAAAATGTAGTTAATTAAGATATATTGTAGGTTTGACAAACTGAGAAATGAAGAGGTCAGGTACCTTTATAAAAATCAAAAAAATGAAATTTTCTTTTTAACTTTCATATTAAAATTCGACCTCTTGCAAATTTCTGAAAACACATTCCGTGTAAAAATTAACCCTAGGAAAAAACTTTATGGTAAAAAAAGAATTATAAGTTTTTGTCATTTAAAGGGATAGATGGTTTGTTTACACATGTATTTCAGCAATTCCTCAGCTATATATAAACAGGTTCAACTATTTATAAAAGGGTTGTATATTAAGTCTGATGCAAATATAATAATAGGAAAGTACATATCTCAAAATCGTAAAAAACAACCTTATATTTAGCGTAGGTATAATGGAACACTCAATCGATTTCGAGGGCAGCTAAAGGTCCCTCCTCATCAGGAGAAAGTAATACATAGAAAGAAGAAAATAGGAATCACAGAAACACGTGGTGCTTATCAGCACTGCATGTGGTTATAACTAGATTTTTAATCAGAGTTGCACTGGCCGCCTACTTTACTGAGCCAGGCTGTCTGATCAAGCATAAAGAAATATATTAGCGAAGTTAAAATAGGAGCGGGGGCCCCGGCCATTACGCTCAAATCTGAACTTAAAAAATGGAAAGCACCACTGAACGGATTTTATACCCTCTGGTAGTACCAATGCGAGGAGGTAACGCCAGCTATCGCAAAAATAATTGAATTAAGACAGTAGAAATTTTAAAGGCATTAGGAAGGACTGGATTGGACTTCAAATCATTAACTAAACTTTCTAAATCTTTGTGAATGTGAAAAGCCTCAAGAAAATCCAATTCGCCTATGGAAGAAGCCTTTTGGATGATTTTTGCAGACCCAAAATCAAAATTATGGTTAAAAGTCCAGCTATGATACGCTATGAAGACTTGTTAATTTCCCCTTTTTTGACATAAGATTCATGTTCCTTGATACAAACTTCAACGCTCTTTTTGTTTGGCCAATATATCTTAAACCACACTGACATGATATACTATAAATTCCCCAAGAATTCCAAGACCAAAACGCAATCTTTTAGAATCGAAGGGGAATTTTATTAATAGGGGAGAAACCGACTTGAAAATTGAATTTCTGGAGAATCCGTGCAATTTTATAGCTAACAGAAGGATAAAATGGAAGCACGACAGGTCATTGATTATTTCTAACAGTGGAATGTCTTCTTTGATGGGAATCTGAAAATTTTTTGACGGCTTTATCAATAATCACGGGAGAAAAAATCCACGGTCAATCGCAACTGCTCTCAAATAATTAAGTTCATTGGTAAGCAAAGATTCAGGAACAAACTTTTAGCGCGCGGAAAACTAATAGTAAAAAGAAGCCATTTTTTGCTTAACAGGGTGGCATGACTTGGCATGGGGTGGTAAACAAACTGCAAAGGGTTTACGGTACACAGTGGTGCTAAAATCGGTTTCATTGCGGATTATAAGCCCCTATAGAGAAAATCATCGCCCCTATAGAGAAAGCCTTTAAATTCTCCAAAATTTCGGAAACGCAGAAGGATACAATCCGCCACCTAATTACTCATAACGTTAATTTTAACAATAAATCTTTGGGTTCTAATCTTAGCAAAAAGGAAAATGAGATCTTACGTGAAATTCATTCTGATACTAATATCATTATCTCTAAAGCTGATAAGGGCGGACAGATCGTTGTTATGGACAAACACACCTTACTGGAGTCTCTAAATTGATAAATGAAGGCCCATACTGCTCGATCCCTAAAGATCCTTCAACTTCGGACCTCATGAAAGTAAAAAGTGCTATTAAATCTTCCCACATTCTGCCAACTCAGTTGAAGAAATCACTTATTCCGCCTATTACTAATTGCGCTAGACTTTATGCTCTTCCAAAAGTCCACAAAACCGGTATTCCAATATAGGTACTGCTTCATATCCTTTGGCCAAATATTTAGTTTCCAGATTTTCTCCTCTACTTGATAACAATATTCACACTGTAAAAAATTGTGTTGAAGTCATTGATAAACTTAAAAATATTTCCCCACTTCGTTCCATTATGGTTTCATTTGATGTTAAATCATTGTTTACTAATGTTCCGTCGTCGAAGGAGCACTAAAATTGCCTTGAAACTAGGCTTCGGGAATTTCACTTCACACATACTGAAATTAATGAGTTGGTTTCGCTTACTAAAGTTTCTCTAAGTCAAACCCACCTTTGTTTTTCCAAAATGCATATTTTCGTCAAGTTGAAGGATTGGCTGGCTATGGGTAATCCTCTCAGTCCGGTACTTGCTAACATTTATATGCACTTTTGAGATGAAATTATTTGATAAATTATCTTTCGTCTTTGGATTCGGTTGGTACGACTTTCGCACTTTTTGACGGTTATAAAGAGGATTTATATCCGAGATTCTATCTATTATGAATTCAATTGATCCAGCCATCCAATTCACTCTTGAAATTGAATCCAACAATTCCCTCCCCTTCCTCGATATTCTTATAATCCGCAATGAAACCGATTTTAGCACCACTGTGTACCGTAAACCCTTTGCAGTTTGTTTACCACCCCATGCCAAGTCATGCCACCCTGTTAAGCAAAAAATGGCTTCTTTTTACTATTATGTTTTCCGCGCGCTAAAAGTTTGTTCCTCTGAATCTTTGCTTACCAATGAACTTAATTATTTGAGAGCAGTTGCGATTGACCGTGGATTTTCTCCCGTGATTATTGATAAAGCCGTCAAAAAATTTTCAGATTCCCATCAAAGAAGACATTCCACTGTTAGAAATAATATCAATGACCTTGTCGTGCTTCCATTTTATCCTTCTGTTAGCTATAAAATTGCACGGATTCTCCCAGAAATTCAATTTTCAAGTCGGTTTCTCCCCTATTAATAAAATTCACCCTTCGATTCTAAAAGATTGCGTTTCTGTCTTGAATTCTTGGGAAATTTTAGTATATCATGTCAGTGTGGTTTAAGATATATTGGCCAAACAAAAAGAGCGTTGAAGTTTCGTATCAAGGAACATGAATCTTATGTCAAAAAAGGGGAAATTAACAAGTCTTCAATAGCGTATCATAGCTGGATTTTTAACCATAATTTTGATTTTGGGTCTGCAAAAATCATCCAAAAGGCTTCTTCCATAGGCGAATTGGATTTTCTTGAGGCTTTTCACATTCACAAAGATTTAGAAAGTTTAGTTAATGATTTGAAGTCCAATCCAGTCCTTCCTAATGCTTTTAAAATTCTACTGTCTTAATTCAATTATTTTTGCCGATAGTTGGCGTTACCTCCTCGCACTTGGTACTACCAGAGGGTATAAAAATCCGTTCAGTGGTTGCTTTCCATTTTTTGAAGTTCAGATTTTGAGCGTAATGTGCATTTGCCCCTCGCTCCCTATTTTAACTTCGCTAATATTTCTTTATGCTTGATCAGACAGCCTGGCTCAGTAAAAGTAGGCGGCCAGTGCAACTCTGATTAAAAATCTAGTTATAACCACGTGCAGTGCTAAGCACCACGTGTTTCTGTGATTCCTATTTTCTTCTTTCTATGTATTTCTTTCTCCTGATGAGGAGGGACCTTTAGCTGCCCTCGAAATCGATTGAGTGTTCCATTATACCTACGCTAAATATAAGGTTGTTTTTTACGATTTTAAATTTGAAAACTCAGGAAAAGTTTGACTCATTACATTCCATTGTCTCTATTAAAAAGTATGATTGTTATGTAAGCAAAACTATTTAAATGTATAGCTATGCACTTACGCAAACTTAATATATTTTTACATTTTGTTATTAATTTTAAGAAAGTAGTGTGCATTTACAAGATATTAAGGTAATTATATCACCAAATTTAAGATTCCTGTGGAAACTGTAATTTTCCTGATTACGGTTATGATTTCTGTGAAACCATAGATCAGAAGATCAAGAAATTTTGACCAATTGGTATAAGCAATCTGTGTGAATAAAAAAATGACCAACTATTATACATCTGGCATAAAAATTTTAGAAATTATCTTTAATTGTATGAAAAAAAAATAGTCGATTTTCAAGCCCAGAACTAAAAAAAAAAAAAAAAAATGTTTGAAAAGGTAGATTTGATTATTCTTAGGTCATTTTAATTGTACATTATTTTTCTATTTTGGAGGAAAAAATCAGCTAAAAAATAACGATTTTTTATTCATAATGCGTTACACGGTACATATTACAATTTAATTTAGAAGATGAGCAAGCTATCTTATTATTATTTTATTTAAAGTGAAGAAGCTAATACAATATCAAGGATCGAAATACACCCTTTTTAATGGTGGAGAATGGTTACAGATGGAATATTCTCCAGACTTCTTAGCATGCAATTATTTTCTGAGTGGCTATCTGGAATTTCAAATCCGTAGTAGATAAGTAGGAACATCGATAACCTCAAGCTAGCATTATTCGATATTTTTCAGATATATCAATCAACATGTTTCAAAGAGCGGTACAGAAAGCAAAGAGTAAATGATAAATATGCTGTTATAAAATTAATAGGCTGAGAATAAGAATGATACTGTAGTAATTAATGATAATATATGAGCCGTTTTTCTTTGTAGAGTTATAAGTCCATTTTTCACAAAAAGTTAGTTAATGATAACAATCAATGCAATGTGCAATGAGCTCTCTGCCTATAAACAGTTAAACAGTTCAAAAAAAATTCTGCAAAATTTTCATCATTTTGATATAAATTTAAGTAGTTAATGAATTTGCAAATCTAATTACTTTGAAAGTGGTCATGTCCATTTTCCGCAAAGCCATAATATTCAGTTCAAAAATTATTATACATGATTTCTCTAGTTCGTTTTTATATGTGTGGCAACAGTGTTCATAACATAAGAGTTTTCGCTCGTTCACTGGAATTTTGGCTCTAAACTAAACTCAGTGGCGCAACAGCTGTAGTGCGCCAAGGTTTGCAGTGCCCCGAAATCTTCTTTCTTGACCGTGGGCCGCGAGGTGCGGGAGCGTATGCCCAGAACAAGTGGTCAGCTTGTCGCAGGGCTTTGGAATTTCGGTACTTTGCCCGTTTATTGCAAAGTATAAAACTTCGTAATGTGTTTTTTTTTTTTTTTTTGCTTATATAACTTAAATAAATAAAGTATGATTACCTCTAAACCATATACAATGCTTACTTAAAGGTAGTTTATTTTTTCCCCCTTCTCTTTGAACCAACAAGCTATACGAAATCAAAAGATGTATGCAAAAGCGCGACCATTTTTCAAATTTTGTTATTTATTCCCTTCTTCAGACCATTGGTGCAAATGATATTACAAGTAAAGGTATCAGAAATAATAAAAGAGATAAACAATTCTTCTCTGGAAGGATACCTGGGCGGAGAATCCACAAAAGAATCCGAACCAGAAATGGCATAAGGTGAAGGCGAAGTTCTTGTAGAAGAAATACCTGAGGAACTTACTCATTCTGAAATATGACCAACGACCGTGGACCAGCAGTAGTCTTTCCAGATATCGGAACTGGGCAAGGGAAAAGTCACTGGCAAGAACAGCTTGCATGCCTTCTTGTCCACTAATCCCTACTCCGATATGCGCAGCTGCAAAGAAAAACGTGAATAAATGAAATATAAATGACAATAGTGTGCGTAAAGTAAGATAGTTATAGAAAAGTTCAAGCATGGCAGAGTAAACTAATATCAAGAGAATTAGAATTAAAAAAAAATTATGAAGAAAATTGCTGTCTAAAGACATCAGATTACAGTCAAAGAACTCAAAAGAGATTTCAGTCTTAAAAAGTTAAGAAATAAATAAATAATTTTTTTAAAAAAATCTGAAAGGAAATTTTTAAAAAATTTTTAAAAATGTAAAAAAAGCTTTAAAATATTAAAATTTATACAAGCATTTCGCTTGCATTCTTATATAAGAATAATTATCCACTATATTTATTTAATTTATCTCAGTCACTGTGGAAATTAGCACTTGTTACAAAATGTTATAGGAGTTTAATTAAAGTGTAAATGGTTCATTTAATGGTGTTTTTAACAATGCTTTTCCTAATATTAAAGATTAATAAAAACTCCTATTTATTTACATTGTTAACAGTGTAACAAATTTCTGCTAACAATGTCTATTTGTGTCTGACACAAGTTTATCGAAACTGAAAACTAACACCTCTGCAACGTGTTAAAAAGTACTTTTTGGCTCCTTTCGGCGTATATAAAATTATATGAAGAAAAAAAATGTGGTTAAATATAATCTTTATACATATTTAATTCTAGCCTCTACGAGGCCAGCCTTCGTATGTCTTTTAAATATACCAAAAAATGCCTAAAGGGAACAACACAAAACATTAAATTAAAAAACTGCGCATAATTTTATTCTGCAGAACAACTTTATTAAAAAACAAACAAACAAATAACAACACAACTTGAAAAGTCAAACGGACAAACACAAACGACGCAGAATGCAAAAATGAAATTAATTTTCCCTTTTAGGCTAACGCCCTTTGGGCTAAAAATCTTAACGTTTTCAGATTTTATATTACACCAAAAGGGTTTTTTTTTAACGCTTTGTGTGTTACCATTATTTATCAAATATCATGTTCTTCGTACCTAAACCATAAAATTCAATTCAATAGCAATATCACAAAATAATTTAAAAAGAGCATATCTTTAGTATTATTAGTCTCGCGCGCTGGAGATAATTCCCCCCCCCCCATACAGTGTTGCCACTGCTCGCTTTGAAATCGTTGGGTTTCTTAATCAAAAACTTATAAATGCTTTACAAAATATGAAATAGAATAGAAAAAATTCCAAATTTGGCCTTTAAGATGCCCATATTCGGGTGAAGACGTACGTTATTTAAAATTTGATGGCTGTAAGTACCCTTGTTTTATCACAATGCGAGAAATATATATACATTTATGCACATTCTTCATTATTTAATTTCTTTAAATATATTACAGGGCGCTAATATTTGGTGGCAACAATTTGAAAAGTGAACCGACAATTATATTGAACAGACGCAAAATGTCAAAACGAAATTAATAGCCCTTCTGGGAAATTTTCCTTTTAGGATAGAAAAACCCTCAAATTTCAATAAAAATGCATTATATAGAAAAAAAATTACAATGAAATAAGCAATATCCCTTAATACATATATTAATTATCGTAATATATTAAATTAACTAACCTCCCGTTGCAAATCTTAAGAATTCAAGTGATATAAAGGAAGTTAAAAAATTTGTGCCCTAAAAAAAATCAGGCAAAACTTTTTATATAACTAAATTTTTTATAAATAATTTTAAATTATATATAATTAAAACATAATATAAAAAATACAGTGAAATAAGCAGTTTTCCTTAATAGAAATATTGCTTATTTCACTGTACAAGTAAAATATATGATGATGACTCCAGATGATTTCTTTGTGCAACCTATTAAATTATATACATTTTATGCTGCATTTCATTTAAACTTATTTCCTTGAATTTTATTAGAGGCATATTTCTCATTCAATAAATTTAATTCTCACTTCGCTGTAAGGTGAAAATTCATAAACACTCAAGGCATTTTTATTAAAAATTTTAAAATACCGAGAAACCTAAAACACCAAAGTCCGTTAAAAACAGCTTTTACAATTAAAATTAAAAGTTTTTATGGCAAAACAAACAGTTCAGCCGACAGGTAAGACCAAATTTGCGGTCTACAAAGCTTAAAGTTAAATTGATATTCTACTGAGCGTAAAGACACCCATATTGGTCCACAAACTGACTTAATTCCCTAGTCTACTAAGAGTTATAGATGAAAACAAATGGCAGTTTCGTTAGGCTTAGTAGCACTTAAATAACTTTTAAATTGTTGATTATGCTACAACTACTGCCTGCAGATTAACTAAAGCTTAAAAACTTTAACTGGAACATAAGAACAACACATTTCAATCACTTTTAAAGTAAAAAATGCACGATTTACCAATATAATAAGAATAAAAATGTTGAGCTCACCGAGCCGAATAACAAAGTGGATATATATTTATATATTTTTGGTGCGGCCGATTGCAGCCGAAAAGGAAGATGCACAACTAGCTATAGCAGTCTCGTGTACAAAATTTCAACGCACTGAGGCTACTCATTTTTGAGTTATGTGAGATATATACATACGTACGTATGTACGTACAGACGTCACGAAAAAAAAAAAAAAAGCTCTTCTGAATCCATTTTAAATCCATTTTACTATCCGTTTTGGAAAAAAGAATCCTTTATTCTGTCCATACCTACAGATATCATCGTTCAAATGGACACACACACACACACACACACAAAAAAAAAAAAAAAAAAAAAATCTTTCAAATGGATACGAGAGCGATAAAAATGGTTATTTTGTTTGAAATATGATACCTGAAAATTTTCGCGATTATAATACTTTCTTTACTTCGTACAAGGAAGTAAAAATTAGGAAAATTTACTTTGGTTTTAGTAAAAAATTTACATTTTGTGAAATAATCTTAATTCTATAGCTTAAATTTGTGTAAATTATCTAGATTTTGATGGATAAGACTATTCGTGAAAGACAACTTTTAGTTCTTGAATTTTGTTTGTCTTGCGCTGCAGTTATCACTAAAAAAAAAAAAAAAAAAAAAAAAAAAAAAAAAAAAAAAAAACATATTTTAGCTAGAATTGAGCTATCCAATTCTTGATCATTTTTATTCTGACTTGGCCTATTTTACTCTTAGCCAATTTCGTGATGAGTGTCCGCACTTTGAAGCTAACGAACCAGAATAACGTTAGTGATTCATTCTATGAGTATATCGCTATGGTGACGAATAATGATTATGGTTCGTGTGTCTCGCTGATTAGATGACAAATAAGGTTATTGTGCTGCAGACACTGAGAAAGGAAATATATGTTTTATGGTAGCAATTTACGCCAGTATGTTCAGATGTTCTAATAAGGCAACAATAGCCCTTTTTTACTTCCTTGTAAGAAGTAAAAAGGAAGTATTGTAATCGCGAAAAGTTTCAGGCAGCATATTTCAACGAAAATATCCATTTTGACCGCTTTCGAATGCAATTTAACGATGTTTATGCGTGATATCTGTACGTAAGTACAGAATAAAAGACTCTTTTCCTCCAAAAAATTATAAAACTGCTTTAAAATGAATTCAGAAGATAATTTTTCGTGGCGTGTGTACGAACATATGTACGTACGTATCTCGCATAGCTCAAAAATGAGTAGTCTCAGAACGTTGAAATTTTGTATATAGGACTACTATAACATGTAGATGTGCACCTCGTATTTTGGTTGCAATCGGCCGCGCCAAACGTATATAAATATATTTATATATATATCCACTCCGTTACCCGGCTCAGTGATCTCAGTTTCTTTACTCTTACATGTTTGTAAATTGTACATTTTTTTCTTTAAAAATGATTGAATTATGTTGTTATTATTTTCCTGTTAAGGTTTTAAGCCTTTAGTAAATCTATATGCAACAGTTTTAGAATTATCAACAATTTTAAAGTTGTTTAAGTGCCGCTAAGCCTAATAATTTTTTTGATGGCCGGTCATTGCTTGTTTGTTACATTTGAAACAGCAGAGTAGTGGATTTGTTGCCAATCTACAGAAACGTAGCTTCGCAACAACAAAAATAACGTCTGCATTTATTATTGCGAATTAAATCATGCTTAATCCTTTCTGGAATTTTTTAGGAAATAAGTGTTTAAGATTTACTTAATTTTTAATAATTTAATTTTTAATAATTAGTAATTTTTAATACAGATATTTTGAGTTTTTATGTATTTTTGCCTTGTCGGGAAGTGAGAACTGAATTAATTGAATGAGAAATACTGAATCGTCTGTGGAAAACTGTTTCTTTTTTGTTTTGTTTGCTTAATTTCTTTTATACATCATTCTAGCTTTATTATAGTATTTGAATAGAACATGTGCAAGCGATTAGATAATTCTTTAAATGGTATAAATTTTGTGCATTCTGAGTTATAAACGAAATATAATTCTGTTAAGTGAACCTAGCGCCAGAATGCCGCTATGATAAACAAATAGAGTGAATTTTAAAGAATGCATTTATTCTATTGTGGTTTATGCGCTGTCGGCGAAGTAGATTTAATTTAATCCAATAAGTTTAAACAAAATGCAGGAAAAAAATGCGTATAATTTAATATTCCGTACAAAGAAGTCATGTGGTGTACACATCAGATTTTTTATCATTAACTTCAGAGAAAATGCTTTGATATTAATGGGAATTATATATATTAATGAGAAATTAGAGTCACCTAAAAACAAACTCCGTTAAATCCTCTTAAAATATACGTTTCCTTTTGTTATTAGTCAATTGAATGTAATATTTTCCTATATTGAGGAAGCTAGGAAAAGAATCAGTCCACGTTATAAGTCGTGGATTGATTCGTTGTTGTTGCTGTGACAAATCTCGCAGGTCTGATATGATAGCAAGCACACGAAATTCATCGTGACAAGGAGGCAAAATTGCGCTTGTTGGCAATAACCTCAGCCTCTATACAGAGGAGAGTACGAATTTACTTAGTTTCGCCACCAGTTTTGAACATGAGCAAGAGTACTTTCGGC